CCTATCCCCACTCCATGGAGTCTCCAAATCAGGCTAACCAAAGGTGTCAGTCTTTCAGGTAGCTCCTATAGAAAGCAAAACAGTCAACACTGGACAGTCCACCAGCAAAGGCGGCTCTGCTTATTCCAGAGCCAGGTCCTTTCTGTGCGACCTCAGACTGTGGCCCATCTATTGCTGCCTCAGACTCACCTGCTACTGCTGCTTAACCAGGATGGGATAGGTGAACATAATAGCCAAGAAGCAAACAAGTAAGTAAACAAAGCCCACTATTTAAAAGAGGCATTGGCATTTCAGTGGTAGAACTGGTAAAATGTTCACCTCCCATGGGGGTGACCAGGCTTAACTTCTGGTCACTCTATCTTATGTACCACCACTCATTTTCAGTAGAGGCTTGTGTGTCATTGTCATCTGAATACATTCCAGGAGAGATTCCAAATGTAGAAGAACAGGGAAGAAAGGCCTGGTTATCTACTTCTAAAAATTATCAAGTAACAGCCTTATGAATCACAGTGCTCTTATCTGGCATAGAAGGTGGGGATAGTGCAGGACTGGGCCGTCTTTCATCCCATGTGCATGGGTTACCACAAGTTAACAGTGGCAGCTGACAACTATTTTAACGTCTTTTCCTTGTTTCTGTATGGCTTTAGTTGCTACAACCCTCTACTAGCTTCTTAGAGTTGTTATTGAGTTCAGCTTACAGATTTCTAGTTGCTTTCCTTGGGGGATCTTGAATTGACACTGGGGTCATGGACCTGCTCATGCTACTATCTCTGACCTCTATGGAAGATCAACTCATAAATAGTGAAATAAGTGACCTCTACATTTCCCTTCTTATAAGTCTATGAGAAACCAGAAGCAGACCAAGAAATAAAGAAAAGCTCTATTTCACTAAAATTAGGAGTCATTTACCACCCAGGACAAAATATATGTAAACCAGAAGGAACCAAATCAACTGCTATTCAATCAGTTCCAACTGACCCTATACATAAAGGCAACCAACTTCAGAAAAGCTACAAATATCTAGCGGCATTTTTCAAAGCCTATAGAACTAAATGTCCCAACGGAAATGGCAAATCCTGAGAGACAAGGACAGCAATTCTTCGTTTGAGACAATTGGAACAGAATGCCCCAACTGGAATCAGGAACCCCTCAGCAGCTCTCCCACAAGGCAAATAAGAGCTGTCGCCCTAATGGAAAATAACCTTGAAAAGGACACATTTGTAGTCAGAGAACTGACCCGAGTCAAACATTTGGACAGTATTGCAACTGCCAATCATTCTCAACTAGAGAGAAGTGAAATCTAAAAATGAACTTATACAAATAATCTTGTGAGAAGAAAATGTATTATAATGAACTAGGAAGAATTACAATTAATCTAGAGATTGACTTGGCTCCTCTCCTTCACAATGGTGTGCAAATACCTGGTCAGAGAAAAATGTTTTTGCTCAGAGATGAAGAACGTAGCAAGAAAATTCTGAAGTGACCTTTAGTGAATTCTAATTTCTGTATTCCAGCACTGGTGTAATCAATTTCCTCCCCAAGTGTGTAAATCATAGCTGTGCCTTGCTTCTAATACATAGAATGCAACAAAGGTAACATACCACCACTCTGGTGATTAGATTACACTATTAGAGAAGGTAATGGAATGACACACCTGTGACTTTGTTGTGTGACTCAGTCTTGCTAGCAGACTCACTCTGGGTCTTTTAAGAAGCCAGCACTCTACTCTGAACTGCCTATGAGGATGGCCACCTAGCACGAATTGCAAGTGGTTTCTTGGAGCTGAGAATTGTTCCAGGTTGAAAGCCACCAGGAAACTGCTGTGCTAAGTCCTACATCCACAGAGAAATGAATTCTCCCAGCAACCCACAGACTTGCCACCGACGCTTCCTTATTTGAGCATTCAGATGACTCTTTGGTTTCATCTGGCGAACCTCGAAACAAAGAGCCCAGTTAAGCCAGGCAGCCCGGCCCATCAAAACCTGTGAGATAATAAGTGTGGCTGGTTAAAGTTGTCAAGTTTGTGATGACTTAAAATAATTGAAAGTCCCCCCACCCAAACAGAACTGAAATAAACAGAAAACAAAATGAAAGCTATAAAAATGTAGAGGCATCAGAAAACATAGCACAAGAAATGAATACTAACAATTTTTAGAATACTGGTACATTGTCTGCACAAAGAACTTCAAGGAAAAGAGAAATACAAACAGCAAACGTAAACTGGTCACAGAAGAATGTTGCCCTGGAACAGGTAGAAAATTAGAACAATACAGATTATCCAATTCAGAAAATCTTAATGAAGCATGTGAGTACAAGAGAGCAAAGCAAAGAAGACAAGGCCCCGAGGGACGCGCGAAAGAGAGAGTTAAACACACAGCCGTGAAGGTTGCTTTGGAGGCAGCCAGAGAAACTATTGTTGTTTGAAAACAATAAGGAGTATAGAAGTCAGGTCC